CATTTCCCGTACGTTAACTGAACGATTTCCCAGAATGTTCACCGCACTACCGCAGAGAGTCATTGAAGCATTTCAAAAACATTAGTGTATGCAAAAATATATCTCTTCTCATTACAGTCGTAATATTTCAAGCGTGGAGAAGAAAAATAATTCACATGGATTTCTTCAGACAACTGAGGAAATTGAAGGTTACACGGATAAAATTATTTGCTGAATTGAAATTAACTAATTGATTAAAATTCATAAAAGATTGTTCAATTTCATTCAATCAATTTTGACTACCAAACTAGATGGTGAGGGCATATATACATTTGGAAATAATTCCGCAATCATTTATATCTTGACAATCGATCAATGTCTCCCCTAGAAGATATTTTCGCAATAATCTACAATTTCTTGTTACATTTGATCCATCAAATAAATCGACGAACGTTTATTGAAAATTTAACAAACGCTTGTCGAATGAAATTGAAAAATCTTTTTCTGAATTTTAATTTAATAGTCTTTAAATTTCACCAACTGCTTGTTGAAATTCACCAAATAATTTTCTCCGTGTGGGATCATTGAAAAAACGGAACCGTCTTCCGAAAAATGGTTTTACAATGAGTTAAAAATCATCATTTCAGTAGCGAAGCAGTAAATAGAGTTAAGTCGGTTTTGACTTTTGACCAGTTTTTGATTAATATCTCGAAATCTAAGAGAGATAGCAAAATTTTTTTCACAATCTTTTTTATAACCCTCAATGGGCTCTACAAAAAAGCTCATGACAAAAATTTTGCTATCTCTTTTAAATTCCGAGATATTCGTCAATAACTGGCCAATACTCAAAATCGACTTGACCCGGTTTACCGCTTCGCTATTGATTTCATCATTTCCCAGAATAATTCATTTGTAATTCCCATTTTTCACTGATTCTCTCATCAATTTATGAGGCAATCAATGTCATGTGGCAAAATTTCCTGGAATTTCATGGGACATGTCACTCATCAAAAAGGTTTAAACGTGCATTTCACTCCATTTACGAATGATTTCTTCTCCCTGCACATGCAGAATCATTTCATTTTCTTGAGCCGTCGTTGGATGATGTTGCGAGTCGCACACGAGTTTACGCGAACGTTAAGGCAGCCGGTGGGGGGGTTGAGGGGGGGGAGCTCGAGAGAATTACATATAAACGAGCGCGTGGTACGAGAAGGCGAAAAGAAAACGGCTGAAGTAACCGAGACGCCTTCGGTTGTGTTGGCGAGTCGAAAGAGGCAGAGTTGGGGGGCTCTCCCTTATGCGAGATCCCGACTTTGCCGTTCACGAGAAGGAATGCGGCCGCGGCGGCAGGGGGGAACATGTGGTGGTGAGGGAGGGAGCAGGGCGGAGGCAGGGTCACAGAAGCCGAGGAGGGGGAGAGGAGGACTGGAGGACGAGGGGGGGTCGAGGACCCGCAGGAATTTGTTGAATATCTCTGGCAAGTTGAAATAAAAAAAAAAGAGAAACAAAAGTAACGGGATGGTTAAATAAATGTGTCGAGTTTGGGAGGGAAGTTTGCGGTGGAGACAATGCCTTCGGGCAATTACACTTGGGGAAGAGGATCATTTGAATCTGTTAAATTATTTATTGTTCCGAATTTGGAGTGTGGACGGAATTTTAATGATTGGGGATGAAATTCTGTAGGAATTATTGTTTGTGCATTCCGGTTGTATGATTTTATGAATAAATTATATGAATTACTGAAAACTGCAATTGTTCAACTTTTTAATGAATTTGGTGCAGATTCTGAAGATGGGAAAAATTAAGATGAAATTTAGGCATTGAAAATTGAAATAATGAAATCATTGGCAAATGTGCGGTCATCTAGAGTCAAATAGGGCTGAAATGAAGTTCTGAAATTTCATGGACAGTTGACTAGTAATTCTAATGAGAATGATATTGTAGCTAATTTGGGGGAAATAATCATGAAATTTGAGATTGCACTGGAAATTCAATATTTTTTAGCCGCAGGACGACGAGAATTCTCCAACTTGCTTAAATTGTTGGTAAAAATGTGATTTTAGGAGGAATAATTGACCTAAAAATTACATTTTCCATTGAGTTTTCAATAAAATATTAAATTTTTCAAAATTCAAATTTTTTTAGCAGCAGGACGACGAGAATTCTCCAGCTTGCTTAAATTGTCAGTAAAAATGTGAAATTTTAGAAGTAATAATTGAACTAAAAATGACATTTTCCATTGGCCTTCAACAAGATATTGAATTTATAATGAATATATTAATTCAGTTTCAAATAAAATGCTGAATGCTCAATTACGAAATTCCTGGAAAGTCCAGCCAAAAATTTTCCACAGTACTTGAACACCCAAAAATTGCGAAATGAGTAATTCCAAGAGGTGCACGTTCCCTCCACCCAAGTGCTCTGTCAATTATCGTCATGTGAATATGACGAGCCTCGGATTACCCCTGCCACCACTGAATGCGCGAGTTTGAGACAGTTACGGGGGTGACAAGCCAGATGCATTTCGAAAGGACAACTCCACAGAAAACTCGCCCATTGGACGACGCGTGTGTTCTATTCGCGCCACTGGGTCACCGAGAAAACTCGTTGGACGAGGTTGAAATAGAGCCGCGAATGCAACGACTCAACACTGGGTAAATTCCTTGGGAATAAAAAAGCGATAATAATGAATTGGAATTTAAGAGAATATTGTGGACAGCCTTGACGAGTGACGCAAACTTCCTTCAATTAAAATCACATCAAAATAGTGGGAGATGACGATCGGGGGGAGGAGGAGGAGAAGGAGGAGTGAATTGGGTTGGGTTTTTGGGTCGTTTAAAATACGCGAGTTTTCGGGGCGAAGGAATAAAATGCATCAGTGCAAAAATTTTGGGATTTATGCCAGGGGAGTTGTTAATATGACGTGATGACGTGCATGAAATATTTATTTTTGTTTTTTAATGCATGACAAAATGCCCAGTTGGCGCTAACAGGAGAAATTACTTCCGGTTTTCATAATATCATGCGACATTTTTCGTTTGTGATTTTGAGAATGTTGAAATGAAAAAACTCGATGAACTCTGTTGAATTCTCAGTGAAAACATGACTATTTGAAGCCGAATTCCGCTGAATTGCAAATTAATTGAAAATTCAAGAATATGTTCACCTGAATTAGTCCAATTTCTATTAGTTTTCACGGAATAATTCAACAAAAATCTACAGTTTGCACTCATTCTCCCCAAAACTTGAATTCTCAATGCCAAAATTCCATGAAATTTCTCCCCAACTCCTGAACAAAAAAATAATCATCTTTCGCTGTTTTCTCCGCATTCCGACACGATTTCCTGTCCATAATTACTCATTTCTAATTTGTCATCAGTGAAAAGAAAAACACGAGTTTTATGAATAAATCCAGCAACGCTGGATTGAAATATATTGAAGGGAATTGATCTCTCGGTATTCCACTGGGAATGCGAATCGATCTTACTCCCCATGGCACATATAATAAATATGGTGCGAGACATTGGGCTCCTCGGAGTGGTGCCCTCAGGGAGTGAAGCTCGCCTGCGACCGTTGAGAAAAAAAAAACATCAGCCAAAGGGAGTGGAGGAGAAATACGTACCGCTGGAATTGCAAATCGAGTTTAATTAAGCTCTCGAGATTCCAGTCGTGGCGGCACTTGGGGCTTGGCGTCACTTTTATCGCAACGAATATCTTTTTGAGATGAAAGGGAACGACGTTGACAAGGTCGCGTGAAACGGCGCATCGGCCAGAAAATCGAGACGCTCTTTATTTTTCATTACCATTATTTATCATAATAATCTGCGGTTTTGTGTTGCCCGGACGAGGGCGAGAGAGAGAGAGAGAGAGAAGTAAAACGAGAATGGAGTTGACAAACCTGAACTCGTTGACCTTTTTTTCGCTTAATCCACGATAAAATCCCGTTCGCGCTGATAAAATGACGGAATTAGCTATTTGTATGGATGCAAAAAAGTATTTTCGATAATTCCCCTCCTAGTTGCTCACATCTAAATCCCCCCGACGCATTCGCGTTGAAAGAATAGTGAAAACCGAAAATGGCAATATTTTTCCTCTTTCTCTCGTGGAAAAAAATAGTGACAAGGCCTGGTAGCACCTGGTCCCCCCGGTCTTGACGTTCTCCAACGCTGCAAAAACGTGTATATTTGCTCGACAAACACACCACAACTTCCAACATCACTCGCGCGTCAGTGGAGACCATATAAACCCATTACCTCCCATCTTCGTGCGAATCGCATCTAAAAATACTCGAAAATATCTCTCACAATTCCACGAACAAATCCCTCCCCCTGGATCCAACAAATTCCATCAACCCCGAGCCCCATAAATCACTCGATCGAATATGGATTGAACTCCAGAATGGGATTCTCAAGCGTCATGCACGTGACAACTACGAGGCCAAGGTTTTCCCCGGAGGTTGAGAATAAGTCAACCGTACTTCTCATTTTTTTCTCTCACTCTCGGCAAATAATTCCCAACGGCCTTGCGTATCTCACCAACAGCTCTTTAAAATCCCTTCTCAAACAGCCAGACAAATTTTGAAGAAAACGAGAAAAAAATCCACGCGATGCGCGATGATTCACAAAGTCGACTCAATATTTCTCCCTTTTATTTTCAAGAATGACCAATACAATGAAATAAGCCTCATTCCACGTGATTCACGCGACTAAACTCAACAATACGAAGGCGTTACCACGTGACACGTTACACCCATTCGCACATTTATCCTCAAGCTCATAAAATATTAATTGATAAAATATGCCAACAACATGAGGCAGAAACTAGCGGAATGTTCACCAGCGAAAAATTCAATCTGTTAAATTTTGGAGAGCTCAATTGTCAAGCAATCACGTGAGCAAATTTGCTCACGACTTGAAAATACTCCGCTAGCTTCAGCTTCCCGCAAACAACAGCTTCGCATTTTAAAAAATCAAAGCCCTCAATTGAATAATCGTGGAAGCAAGTGTTTTAAAAAAACTCACCTTCGTCCAGCAGTCTCTCCACATGTATGAAGACATTGGGAAAAGCAGCGAGCTGCTTCCTGTCTTTCAGCAACTGTGACAGATAGTCCGCTATGCTCTGGGTCGTAGTGTTGGTATTATCACACATATTTGTAACTGAACGATACCAGAGACCAGAAAAAGCTCGCGCGAGTAAAAAAAAATAATAATTCTGGTCAACTACTCCAGTGTCACTCGAGACTAGTATTACGCCCGTAACTCAGTTGGAGGAGAGGAAAAAAAATAAACACTAGCCCGCTGGGTGTTGCAAATACCACTCGTCCGGTTGCCCGAGTCGTGATAGTTCTCCGTACGTGGGTTCGCCGATGGTCTATCCTCTCTTGCGATTCGCAAAGCCGAAGTGGAATCGTTTGGGATGTGTCAGAGGGAGGAGAAATGGACAAAAAAACCAACTATCGAGTGAGCGACAGAGACGGAGGGGCAAAACAGTCCCTCTGTCGCATGAATGGAGCCTTTGCACAGTGTTCAGTCAGTTTTCACTCCGATAATTCAACATCAGGGACTCGATGAATGAAAAAACCTTAGACTCTTTCGAATTACGGGGAAAAACTGAAATTACTGAGTAATTTTATCACGCACGCGCACAACTGTACAATCGTCTCACAACTGCGCGGCTCCTCGTGTGCTCGATCGTGCCGACCTGCCTCTCTGCCTTCTTCTTTCCCAAGACTAGCCGCACCTCCCCCCACCCCCCGGGAATGGCCATTGAATTTCATCGAGTGCGCATGCGCGCTTGGCGGGTGTACAGCGCATGCGCAGTTACCACGCCGCGCGGCTCCACGCACACAACGACCAGAGTCGTCTACCGAGCCTTCCCGCCCACTACCATATACGGCCTCCGCGTGTCTACGAGGCTTGTGTACAAACGCGAGAGGAAGTGACGGCGAGAGGAAGTGCGGGCACGGGGGAACGCGGTTGTGCGAGTGTTGGGGGTGATGAAGAAGTGTGGAGAACCCGGTTTCTGTCTGGATGGGCCCTGCACTGCAGGATTCGCTTCAGCGTGTATTTTCCGATTACTCGGGCTTTTCGGAAATTTCACGGAGGTGAGTACCCTCTCGGGGGCTTTTATGACTTTCAGGAGGATGTTTATTTTATTTTGGGGCTTCTTTTTAATTTGGAGGTTTTACGGGGTCGGGGACCGTAGGGCGTCCTGGGGGATGTGCTGGGAGAAACTCTTTCGTCAGTTTTTTACGGGAATTTCAGGCTTTCAGTATTTTAAGGATGAGAATTGAGAGGTTGCGGTTTTTCTGGGTTTTAATAGTTCGGAAAACGGGGAGACCGAAAACAAATCAGTGTTTACCTTCCTCAAGGTTATTTCTTGGGTTTGAGGACGACACATGTTGCAGTTGCCAAAAATGGCGGGTGGTGGGGTCTTTGTGACTGTCAGGGGAATGTTTATTTTATTTTATGGCCTTTTTAAAATTTGATGGGTTTGTGGACTATTGGGAGGTTAATCTCCATGGGATATGCTGGGAGAAACACTCTCTCATAAATTTTTTTCATTTTTTTACGGGAATTTGATGCTTTTCATCCATTATTTTAATTTAAAAAATTGCGAGGCTGCGATTTTTCTGGGTTTTAATTGTTCGAAACACGAGGAGACCGAAAACAAATGGGTGTTTACCTTCCCCAAGGTTATTTCTTGGGTTTGAGGACGACACATGTTGCAGTTGCCAAAAATGGCGGGTGGTGGGGTCTTTGTGACTGTCAGGGGAATGTTTATTTTATTTTATGGCCTTTTTAAAATTTGATGGGTTTGTGGACTATTGGGAGGTTAATCTCCATGGGATATGCTGGGAGAAACACTCTCTCATAAATTTTTTTCATTTTTTTACGGGAATTTGATGCTTTTCATCCATTATTTTAATTTATAAAATTGCGAGGCTGCGATTTTTCTGGGTTTTAATTGTTCGAAACACGAGGAGACCGAAAACAAATGGGTGTTTACCTTCCCCAAGGTTATTTCTTGGGTTTGAGGACGACACATGTTGCAGTTGCCAAAAATGGCGGGTGGTGGGGTCTTTGTGACTGTCAGGGGAATGTTTATTTTATTTTATGGTTTTTTTTAAATTTGATGGGTTTGTGGACCATTGGGAGGTTAATCTCCAGGGGATATGCTGGGCGAACACTCTTTCATAAATTTTTTCTATTTTTTTACGGGAATTTGATGCTTTTCATCCATTATTTTAATTTAAAAAATTGCGAGGCTGCGATTTTTCTGGGTTTTATTTGTTCGAAACACGAGGAGACCGAAAACAAATGGGTGTTTACCTTCCCCAAGGTTATTTCTTGGGTTTGAGGACGACACATGTTGCAGTTGCCAAAAATGGCGGGTGGTGGGGTCTTTGTGACTGTCAGGGGAATGTTTATTTTATTTTATGGTTTTTTTTAAATTTGATGGGTTTGTGGACCATTGGGAGGTTAATCTCCAGGGGATATGCTGGGCGAACACTCTTTCATAAATTTTTTCTATTTTTTTACGGGAATTTGATGCTTTTCATCCATTATTTTAATTTAAAAAATTGCGAGGCTGCGATTTTTCTGGGTTTTATTTGTTCGAAACACGAGGAGACCGAAAACAAATGGGTGTTTACCTTCCCCAAGGTTATTTCTTGGGTTTGAGGACGACACATGTTGCAGTTGCCAAAAATGGCGGGTGGTGGGGTCTTTGTGACTGTCAGGGGAATGTTTATTTTATTTTATGGTTTTTTTTAAATTTGATGGGTTTGTGGACCATTGGGAGGTTAATCTCCAGGGGATATGCTGGGCGAACACTCTTTCATAAATTTTTTCTATTTTTTTACGGGAATTTGATGCTTTTCATCCATTATTTTAATTTAAAAAATTGCGAGGCTGCGATTTTTCTGGGTTTTATTTGTTCGAAACATGAGGAGACCGAAAACAAATGGGTGTTTACCTTCCCCAAGGTTATTTCTTGGGTTTGAGGACGACACATGTTGCAGTTGCCAAAAATGGCGGGTGGTGGGGTCTTTGTGACTGTCAGGAGAATGTTTATTTTATTTTATGGTTTTTTTTAAATTTGATGGGTTTGTGGACCATTGGGAGGTTAATCTCCATGGGATATGCTGGGCGAACACTCTTTCATAAATTTTTTCTATTTTTTTACGGGAATTTGATGCTTTTCATCCATTATTTTAATTTAAAAAATTGCGAGGCTGCGATTTTTCTGGGTTTTATTTGTTCGAAACATGAGGAGACCGAAAACAAATGGGTGTTTACCTTCCCCAAGGTTATTTCTTGGGTTTGAGGACGACACATGTTGCAGTTGCCAAAAATGGCGGGTGGTGGGGTCTTTGTGACTGTCAGGAGAATGTTTATTTTATTTTATGGTTTTTTTTAAATTTGATGGGTTTGTGGACCATTGGGAGGTTAATCTCCATGGGATATGCTGGGCGAACACTCTTTCATAAATTTTTTCTATTTTTTTACGGGAATTTGATGCTTTTCATCCATTATTTTAATTTAAAAAATTGCGAGGCTGCGATTTTTCTGGGTTTTATTTGTTCGAAACACGAGGAGACCGAAAACAAATGGGTGTTTACCTTCCCCAAGGTTATTTCTTGGGTTTGAGGACGACACATGTTGCAGTTGCCAAAAATGGCGGGTGGTGGGGTCTTTGTGACTGTCAGGGGAATGTTTATTTTATTTTATGGTTTTTTTTAAATTTGATGGGTTTGTGGACTATTGGGAGGTTAATCTCCAGGGGATATGCTGGGCGAACACTCTTTCATAAATTTTTTCTATTTTTTTACGGGAATTTGATGCTTTTCATCCATTATTTTAATTTAAAAAATTGCGAGGCTGCGATTTTTCTGGGTTTTATTTGTTCGAAACATGAGGAGACCGAAAACAAATGGGTGTTTACCTTCCCCAAGGTTATTTCTTGGGTTTGAGGACGACACATGTTGCAGTTGCCAAAAATGGCGGGTGGTGGGGTCTTTGTGACTGTCAGGAGAATGTTTATTTCATTTTATAGCTTTTTTAAAATTTGATGGGTTCGTGGACCATTGGGAGGTTAATCTCCATGGGATATGCTGGGCGAACACTCTTTCATAAATTTTTTCTATTTTTTTACGGGAATTTGATGCTTTTCATCCATTATTTTAATTTAAAAAATTGCGAGGCTGCGATTTTTCTGGGTTTTATTTGTTCGAAACATGAGGAGACCGAAAACAAATGGGTGTTTACCTTCCCCAAGGTTATTTCTTGGGTTTGAGGACGACACATGTTGCAGTTGCCAAAAATGGCGGGTGGTGGGGTCTTTGTGACTGTCAGGAGAATGTTTATTTCATTTTATAGCTTTTTTAAAATTTGATGGGTTCGTGGACCATTAGGGGGTTAATCTCCAGGGGATATGCTGGGAGAAAAACTCTCTCATAAATTTTTTCCATTTTTTAACGGGAATTTGATGCTTTTCATCCGTTATTTTAATGAAAAAAATCTGGGGTTATTGCTTTTTGGGTTTGAATAATTAGTAAGTATGCAGAAAGACTTCATCACACATTTTTTGATAAATACCATATTATTAACTATTTTTTTGGGCGGAATGCAAGTTTTATGGTCGAATGGAAGGTCGGAAAACCATGTGAGATCAAAACCAAATAGATATTTTCCTTCCTCAAGGTTATTTCTTAGGTTTGAGGACGACACATGTTGCAGTTGCAAAAAAATGGCGGCTGGTGGAGTCTTTATGACTCCGGAGAATGTTTGTTTTATTTTAGGGCTTTTTCTAAATTTGATGGTTATTGATGGGTTCAGGGACCATTCGGAGGTTCATCTCCAGGGAAAATGTTGTCTTTCATCATTTTTTTTCCGTTTTTCATACGCATTTGATGCTTTCCATCCGCGATTTTAATATTTTTCTCCTCAAAATTGATTTAATCTCGTGTAGAACTGTTATTTCACGATGATGATGACGAAGAATATCTCGAAGAAAATAGATCTCTTCATCATCAATAACCCCTGTATACCATCCTTCATTCGACCACATTGCAACATGTATATCAGCAATTCGCTGATGCGTAACGGTCGACCGGTACTACGCTCGTTAGAAGAGCGAATGCCATGATGCTGGGTATTATAACACTCGAGGAAGCAAACAACCGCCCCCAGATGACCCAAATCTCTTCACCATAGTTTTAAAACTGATGCCCCACAGTCTTCCCCGTGGCACGTCAAACAGTCCACCTGTGTATTATGCTAAAGAAAACTTGGGGTCGGCTTTCGTAATTGAGGAAAAGACTGGCGTTACACTCACAAACATCAGATCCTACTCGGTCGTAATGCGAGAAGGCGTTTTTGTATAATTATGGTTTCGTGACCCGGACGGGCGTGAAAAGACTGAGTATTTAAATGCCGATTTTTTAAAACTGGTAAGCGTGGAAAATATCTCGTCGAGAGAATCTGGAAAAGCTCCTGATATTCCACAATTAGGGGAGGGTAGGGTAAAACGGACACTTTTGACTTTTTTTGAAATATTTATGACGTATTGAATTGTTCATGAAATGGCATAATTTTATTTTTCAATTGAAAAACAATGATTCCTCTTTGTGATGAGCCTAGACTGAGCTCAATTCAGTAGCGAAGCGGTAAACCGGGTTAAGTCGATGTTGACTATTGGCCAGTTTTTGACGAATATCTGGGAATCTAAAAGAGATAGAAAATTTTTTGTCATGACCTTTTTTGTAGAGCCAACTGAGGGTTATAAAAAAGGTAATGAGCAAAATTTTGCTATTTCTCTTAGATTCCGAGATATTTGTCAAAAAATGGCCAAAAGTCAAAATCGACTTCACCTGGTTTACCGCTTCGCTACTGAATTGATAAATCTGTTTCTGAGTTATGAATATTTTTGAAAAAGTCAAAAGTTTCCATTTTACCCTACCCGCCCCTACTTGAATTACCAATTAAACACGAATATTCGGTACCAAAATGAACAGAAATTAAATTAAGGAGTCTCGGGAGTAAAAAAAATTACTGACATACGGGAAAAATTTTAAGGGTGATTTCCCAACCGGGGGAGACTCCTAGACCCCAGTGGACAATGTTGTCACAACTCTTTTTGACTCATTGTCAGAGTTGAAAAGCAGAGTTTATGGCAGAGATGTCAGACATGATGTGAGTGAGAACCTACCGTGAATGCACGGTAAAATTTACCGTGGAGCGTGCGAATACACTGCTCATCGAAAAGCCAACGCCCTACTAACCATTCCCCAAGAAAATTCAATTTCCCACCGGATTCGACAGCCCCGTATCGTCCCAATCCCAGTGATACATTTCAGCTTACAATGTATTATTCATAAACTGACAGCCCACTCATAAAAATCCTGCTGCGCAGCTCATCGAGTCACGCTTCGAACGGAGAATGCTCACAAACTGAGCATAAACACAAGCACGTTACAGGAATAAAAAAAAAATACGTGAGCATATGAGCAATATCGAGCGGTGAATTTTATCCATTTTTCTTCATGCATACTCAATAGCAAATTACCCTGGAATAAAAATGGTACTTGTGGCGTAAAATTACCATAGAAAATTACGCACTGAAAGATATGAAGAGAGAAAAAAAAGGAAACGGGATAATTTTCCAGATTCTATCACTCGATCGGAGAGAAGTCCTCGGCTAAAAGCCAAGTGTCACGCTCAAGCGAAAGGCGAATACCACATGAGATTTTTTCCAACTTCGCCGAGTACTCGACTTGGAGATGAAAAAAAAGAGAATTAAACATCTCGTGGATAAAAACGATACTGTTCTTGAATTGGAGTTGCAGGTGGCGGCGTCATTAAGACTAACGAGAGTTTTACAAAACTAGTCCTAGCCCCTGTGATTTTACCTTTTTCGAATGTTTGTGGATATGTTTTACGTGTGTAGTGGGGAGAGAAAGCTTGAACGATACGTGCGTGGGTTTTGATTCTCTTTTTTACGTCTTTTTATTTCATCACTTTGTTGTCTTTTTGGGATGAGACATCCTCTGCCCCTTCGATTCCTCCAAAATCCTGTGGAAATTAGACATGAGACTGTTTTTTTATGGTCATCGTGGAGATGAGATTAAATCACTCTCTGAAATTTTGTTAATTTCGTCACACCGAAACGATTTTTCTCCCTCAATTGTCATGTAAATTCCTTTAACACTCGTATCAGATTGTTTTCTCATCGAATAAGACACTGACCCACAGTGAAAGAAGTGCGTTTTGATTCTCCTTTCTACGTCTTTTTATTTCATCATTTTGTTGTCTTTTTGGGATGAGACATCCTCTGCCCCTTCGATTCCTCCAAAATCCTGTGGAAATTAGACATGAGACTGTTTTTTTATGGTCATCGTGGAGATGAGATTAAATCACTCTCTGAAATTTTGTTAATTTCGTCACACCGAAACGATTTTTCTCCCTCAATTGTCATGTAAATTCCTTTAACACTCGTATCAGATTGTTTTCTCATCGAATAAGACACTGACCCACAGTGAAAGAAGTGCGTTTTGATTCTCCTTTCTACGTCTTTTTATTTCATCATTTTGTTGTCTTTTTGGGATGAGACATCCTCTGCCCCTTCGATTCCTCCAAAATCCTGTGGAAATTAGACATGAGACTGTTTTTTTATGGTCATCGTGGAGATGAGATTAAATCACTCTCTGAAATTTTGTTAATTTCGTCACACCGAAACGATTTTTCTCCCTCAATTGTCATGTAAATTCCTTTAACACTCGTATCAGATTGTTTTCTCATCGCATAAGACACTGACTCACAGTGAAAGAAGTGCGTTTTGATTCTCTTTTCTACGTCTTTTTATTTCATCACTTTGTTGTCTTTTTGGGATGAGACATCCTCTGCCCCTTCGATTCCTCCAAAATCCTGTGGAAATTGAACATGAGACTGTTTTTTCTGGTCAATTCACTCTAAAATTTTCTCAATTTCGTTACACCGAAACGTTTTTGGTCCCTCAATTGTCATGTAAATTCCTCTAACACTCGTATCAGATTGTTTTTTCATCGAAAGACACTGACTCACAGTGAAAGAAGTCCTTGACTGTTGTATTTATGAATGACTACAAGTCATCGACAGAAAAATAATGAATAAACCCGTTGAGATCATCATAACCGACAATTTAATATTCACCATCCTCACGTGTTTGCTCATATTTTCCCCCGTGCAAATGCCTCGGTAATCAGTGACTCCTTGCATACCAGTTGACGTCTAAATGAAGTGAAATGCAGCATTCAAATATGAAATCATGAGCCAACGAAATGTCCGATTGATCCCACATTCTCGGCTCGGATCATTTGCTTGAAAATCCTGATAAATGCCTCGAATATAATTACACCGGCATAATCACACGCCCCTGTGCCTTTAATTGCGAAAAACACCTGTAATTCCCACGCCAACATCATCCCAACACTCTTAAAACACCGAGTTTACTCCTTAAACGATGGGAGCTGGCAAAAAATTGCAACTTTCGCTACTTGGAGCGGAAGCGATTCATCCAGAGCACGTGAAACCTTAGAAATATAAACGTCAAATGCTTTGGCGCCAGATAAATATCTGAAAAGCCATGCCTCAGAGGGATAAATAAACGAGCCAGCACGTAACTATCGACACATGTCCCTATTCTCAAGACAGAAGAAAGTGAAAAGACGAATAAATAGTGGAAGAGAAAAATTATTCACGAAATGAGATCGATTAAAATTAATAAACCATTGAAATGTCAATAATCGTCTAGTATGTGGGCATGAAAAAGGAATGATCAAAGGTATTGGGATCCTTGAGTACCGCCTCGTCTGTATATCCCACGGGCGTTACCTTCTATGCTCCGTCCGGCGCCTACACACATATTGGTTAATGTAAAGTTAACGTTGACGTCACGTACTCGAACCATAGATGGGCCTGGCACACGACCACGTGGGCGATCACCACTAAGCATAAACGTTATAAATTATATGCCTATTTTACTAAAACGACATTCTCTTCAACTGCGTATATGTTTTCTTTAAACCACATACGTGGCACAAAACACTGAAAAGAATCATTCATTTCGAGCCCAAGATTTTCATTCGTGGGATGTGTGGGCGTTGGACTGACAACTCTCGATCATTCGAAATCTTCGGTGGCGTTCGATTTTCACTTTGTCATTGTGGATGAAATTTTAGGGAATAATTAGCGCATGGTTTCATGGGAATTTCGGTGGAAACTGCCATTTTATTTTAATTATTGAGTGGAGATGGGGAGAAATGAGGAAAATCCAGATGAATTCTACCTAAAGTTTAGAATTTCATAAGGCTTTCTGTTATAGTTCCAATGAGAGACTGTTCACTCGCGAAAATACGCTTTCAATTTTTTAAGGATGTGAACGTTACCAATTATATGCCTATTTTACTAAAACGACATTCTTTTCAACTGCGTATATATTTTCTTTAAACCACATACGTGACACAAAACACTGAAAAGAATCATTCATTCGAGCCCAAGATTTTCATTCGTGGGCTGTGTGGGCGTTTGATGACTCTCGATCATTCGAACTCTTCAATGGCTTTCGATTTTCACTTCGTTGTTATGGATGAAATTTTAGGAAATAATTAGCGGAAGGTTTCATCGAAATTTCGGTGGAAACTGCAAGTTTAATTTTAATTACTGAGGGGAGATAGGGAAAATTCAGATGAATTCCAGCTGAAACATGGAATTTCGTAAGGCCTTCTGATAATTGTTTCGAGAGGTTAATGATATATGCAGTTACAATTCCAATGGAAGACTGAAAAATTCATGAAAAAATTGATGATGAAATTTCAGGGAACAATTAGCGGATGGTTTCATGGGAAAATCCTAATAATTGTCTGGAAAGATTAATGATATATGCAGTTATACTTTCTTTAAACCACGTACGTGGCACAAAACACTGAAAAGAATCATTCATTCCAACCCAAGATTTTCATTGGTGGGCTGTGCGGGCGTTAGACTGACAGCTCTCGATCATTCGAACTCTTCAATGGCTTTCGATTTTCACTTCGTCACTACGAATGAAATGATTATTACTACTGCTCATTAGGGAGGTCCACCTGAATTCTACCTGAAACTTGAAATTTCACAAGCCTCAAAAATATTTCCAAACATGGCCTTCCGATAATTCTGAGGAGAATTCAACGACAGGTGCATTTATAACCCCAATGAGAGATTGTTTACTCGCAAAAACAAGTCCTCTTTATCTGAAAAATACACATTTCAATTTGTCTCCTTCCATTATGCACGATTGCACAATGATACTGTACATTGAATAATAGATATGCATTATTTTGCATATGAATGTAGCCAGTGAATCAAGTTAGATAAAAATATTCATGAATGCAATTGCTATTGTTATAGATTATCTGGAGAATTGTCGTTGATCATTCTTCCCCTTTCCCACCTGTCGAAAATGCTTGCTCCTCTCAATCTGCTTCCCACCGCTGGCGTTGTTCATATTTTTGAAGTATCCATAACCGCCTCCACCGAGACGTTTTCGGGGTCTTGAGTTCTTGCTGATGCCCACTTCTGTAGGAATATTGTTAAGGAAACCATAACAGATAAATTAAATTGTTTCTCTGGAGGGTAGAGGAGATGTGGGGCTTCGTCATTGAGACAAGTTCACGGTGAGCCCTGCCAAATTAGGTGGCGAGGGCCCACGCGAATGTTGAAAAAGGATAATGGCTGAAAGGTGCTAAGATAAACAGGCTGAAGTGCTGCGTGAGAAAAGAATAGGAATTGAATAATAGGAGAGGGGATTGCTGGCCCGTTGGCAGATATTCTGACACTCTAACCAATTACTATTAGTCGCAATGAATGGCTTTCTCAAGGTATTCAGTCATTATTCAAAAAAAGGATACTCAGATCAACTGCAGGTGGTACTGTGAATCCAAACGATTTGCCAACTTGGATGAGATCCAGGGTTTCAATGTCGAATATGTGTTTCAAGTGATGGGAATCGTAGGCACGAACGTACGCTTTGAATGCCTCCTTTGCTGATAGGTTCAGGAAGTAGTTCTTCGAGACCAATTTCTCAAGCTGTAAATAAAGCAGTGACTTGAAATTTTAAATGTTAAAGTAACCATAAATTTGTACATTTAAATTTCGAAATATTCTATCAACCAATAATTTAGGTAGGAGGATTGACGATTATTTGGATAATCGAAAATCAAGTATCTAAATTTAGAATTAGCTTGTTAACTAAAAAATTATATTTCAGTATTATCAAATATTTTTTTCGCCATCAATCGAAAAATTTAGCTAATAAATTCTATAGTAATTTAAATTTGTTAAATATAGGTGAACTTTGAACAATATAAGGAGATAATCCCTTTTTAATTTGTCGAAATCTAATATTATTGCCTACCCCTGGAATAAAGTACAGGGTTTGAAAAGAATTTAAATTCCAGGGACAGATTATTAATTTTCAGGAGAAGCACATTTATTTGATTTAGGGAGTAAAAATGAAATTTTAGATTTCACTGAAAATTCAATCGAAACGTTAATATTCTACGCTAAATTTCCCCCATTAACATTATCAATTCCCATATGATTATCATGAAGATTAAAATAATGAAAATAATTTTGATGGAATTGTCAAGTAATATAACGTCGTGTTAGCCTTCAGGATTTCGATTGTTTCACGATTCAAATAATTATTTTCAACATTGATCGCATAAATCGCCTGAGGAAGTTGAAATGAATCATCAAAACATAGCGTCCTTTGACGAATGGACTTGGCTTTTTCAATCTGAACGCCTACTGTTCAAGTAATATTCAGAGTAAAATTGTTTTGGTATTCCAAGGATTCAACCACTCTGATGATCTATCTCCACGCGGAAGTTATTCAGAGTCCAGCTGCGTGCTGGAACTCTTCGGGCTAACTGACAAGTCAGCATAGTGCACTGTTGTCGTATAAATTATTCGTTCAAAATGATCGCAGAGTGTTGCCTTCAATTTGATATTGAGAAAAAAAACAGCTCCTCGTGAAGGAAATTACATTTTTTCTCCGAGAATTGCTCTCTCCGATGAGCTCCCAGCGATTTTCTAAACTGACAAACTATAATATTTCAACAAATTATTATTATTATCCACTGAAATTATGTTTTCCTTGAATGGGGAAAGGGAGCTGAACTAATCGCTCTCATTTTTCGAGTAAGAAATTCATTAGTATGAATAATTAATTACAACCGAAAGGGCAAACTGTATCTGAAAATCTGCAAAAGCAGTTGAGCTGCGTAAGGCAATAATCAGTTCCTCAATTAGATCTCCCTGGTGTCACAAACCACTCCCCGTGCTGCTGCTCTTGCAATTTATTCAAAAGAGCATCTAAGATAGCACAGCACGTAGGTGGCGGAAACCTTGAGAATTACCCAGTGTATGAGTACACTCACGTGGATAATACTGAACAGTAGAGATATAAAACATGGAAAAAAAAATTATTTTTCCATGTATGACACACTAGATCGTTTAATTTAATGTCTTTATGACGCCCACTCTGTTCAGCGGCCAATAATCATTCACTTCTGCATAAAAATAATGGCAGGCACCTGATTTCAAATGCAAAAATGTGATTCCATGCATGAAGAGAGGACAATTATCAAACTGAGATTGTTCTAATGATAACTTATTTTCAGTGGAAATGATGATATTAAGACAGCCAGAATTTTTCTGTTTTCTGTTCGTTCAAATCGTTTCCAACATTTGAAAAGTGGAGGATAAATTAGAAAATTTATTTATTGATTGAGAAAAATTAATATAAACAATTTCCATTATTCATTCCCAAGTGAATATTCAAAAAGGAGTAATTCATTGAAAAATTTTCGACATATTCCATAAATTTTATTCAAATTTTGGACCCATTTGATGATTGAAAATCCCCAAATCTAGGGTACAAAACTATAAAATGACTCAAACGTTTTCTTCTGTCAAAATAAATAATTCCTCGAAATTCATCAGCCGAAATGACGCCTCCCTTCAAAAAAATGATTTGTGCTCCCCTAAAATCCAGGATTACTCGTTGAAAATGAGGTCCCCAACCCAGAAACTCACCACAATTTTCAACAAAGTTGACCGTAATATTTAGCCCGCCCGATATACACCAGTAAAATGCATAAATATACCGAGGCAGCGATTCTCGACTTAGATTAACATCGCTGGCCCTGATGCAGAGGAAGGATCGCGCAATTCATAAATTGGCCTTTCGCCGAGAAGAGTCAGAAGGCATAAGAACAAGTTGGCTATCCAGTGGAACCGGTAGCCACTGTTCCAAGGAGAATAAGAAGACGATGTAAGGGCGGGGATAAAAAACAAGAATGAGGAGAGAAAAAAAAAAATTCGGATCATGCACGAGGGCAATATAATCCGATATCCCCTATGGATTCAGCATCTGAATCTGTTACACTCCGAGGGAGTGGTTATGGACACGCACACACTTGGCATCAACGCTCCACTAGCGTGGGCGCCATACCCATCTTTCTTTAATATCATTTTTTTTCCTCTACTCATTGCCTCGTTGACTGCGCAACTAACCCGAGAGACTGACCTCGAAACCACCAGCAGAAGAGATTGACTCTCTTGACGTTGAAAAATATGTTTGCTTAGGGCCAGCGATACCCCCGAACAATTCTCCTTACCGTACACGTTATCAAACAAGTCTTGTTTGGCCCAACAAAATCGCTGGTTGAAAATTGCCAAAAAAGAATTTATTTGGTTCGAATTTGAAAGTCTCAAACGTGAATAATTGCTCTGCTTTCGACAGCAACGAAATATTTGGCTCAAGAGGCGGATAATTCACACCAGACGGTGCCTTTTCAGGATGAAGGAAAATTTATCAACAAATATTTTATCCCCAAGTTACGAGATTGCTGTCATATCATTGTTATTGTTTCATTTAAGGGTTCATTTCTTGTCTGTGATTATTAGACAGTCGAAACGAAAAACTACTGTCCCTTGCTTCGCATAAAACAAAGATCTTTCGGGAGCAAAATACGTGTGGGAGTATCGAATAACGAAGGAGTGGTGCTAGAAATGACATTTCTTACTAAATCTATTTTTGCGACAAAAATTTTTCATTCCGGCGCACTCGCTGCCTGTTTGGCACAAAAAATCCTCCTTTGATAATTTTCAAAAAACTATTTTCTCGGCACAAGTAAAACTTGTTTGAGAACTTTGTCGTTTTTCTCTCAGTGTATGACAACAGAAGAAGAACGTTTGAGTCATAAATGTACTGAAGAAAATTAGTTTCTATTGTTCCAAGCTCCTAATTAGTTATGGCATTGTTGTCCATTGTTACGTGTTGTGACCTTCGCCGAGGGAAATGTTAACACCCGACTAATGACGCGAAGAAAACCATTAGCTTCCCTAGATTACGGGAAGAACACTTGATTAATTCGTCCAATCAAGGGTACAGGTTTTTCCCAGCAAGTCCCAGGGGGCTAATGGAGTTGTCTCCACTCACGTGAAAATCTGAATAATCACGCAATCAAAGTGGCATAGTTCGATAATGCTGTAATGCTGCAATTTTCCATGCAGTTGGAATGTAAAACATCCACTGAGATCATCGATTGGAGTCAGACTGCTTGGCAACGTGCACCGCTCATGAATAAATCGGTCGTCTCTTTATTTCATTTTTATCTAACACTGCTATCGGCAACTGGTAGCCCAGTATTGTTCTACCTGGGGGTGTAGCTGCGGCACGTTTACAGATATCTGATAACCGAGTTTAGTACACGATACACGATTTTAGGGATCATGAATGGCGATAGAATTCTTCAAGTCTTGAGCATCAATTCTAATTAATGCGAACGATTCGAGAAGTTTCCACTCGGAAATTCACACGATGAGTGTTGATAACTCCTGTTCTCAATTGAAATTACCACAGGCAATTAAAAAAATCGGGATAAGTAGACGATTAAGATGACTCTTCTGAACTCAAGCCCAGAAATGATTAATTCCTACTGATGAATGTGATCACATCCATTCAGATTAACTTGCTTGAAAAATTCAGACGCTGGAGAAATGATAATAATTTTCTTCAAGTCTTAAGCGCCGATGCTTAACGAAAATTCACGTAATAAGTGTTGACATCTCCTGCTCTCAATTGAATTGACCACGAGTAACGAAAAAAAAAAATGGTAATAAGTAGACGATGAAGATGACTTTCATCAGTGAATTGCCCCAGTCTTCGAGAGAACTCAAGCCTTTTTAGGCTCGCCTCGACCCACGTGCCTAGATCGAGTGCATTTATCCAATGAAAGAATCGATTCACCCATTTACTTGAAGCATCCTCACCCCAGCTACAATTAACGTAACATAAAGCGAGGGAGTTGGCTCGTATCAATTAGACACCAGTGGCTAATAAGGTCAGCTAACTTTCCACTGGCAATGAATCCTCTTCATTCTCACTGTCTGCCAGTCCCCCCCCCCCTTCGGTTCTTGAAGCAGATAATCCATCCCTTTTTTTCAAGAAGATGGATTAGCTCGTCAAGATTATCAGCAACTACTCACGTGTAAATACATCCGGATGCTCGCAATCATTTCAGCGAGCACCGAGTGCTCGGTAATTAGTGGGAAACTAGTGGAACCGGAATGTCGAGTGATATTCGCTCTTATTTTCAAAACAATCGCCACGATAATTCGTACCGAAGGGTGGAGAATACAAAATTGTAAACTTTCTGAGAAGTGTTTCAAGATGCTCTTGAGTGCATTACATACTCCAATGGGTAATACCACTTGCTTGATGTTTATATCAGTTACTGACTACATACCAAGTACTTTTGAAGATGGTTGAACCAAGATAACTCAATTATACCCTCAGCTTTATTATATAGTTCATTCTCCAGTGTTTTACGACTGATGATTCCGAGAAATAGACTCGAGGAATTTAGATACAAGACACATGCTGAGTATTTCAAGGATAAACGTGTCTCGCTTTGTGCACCTTTTAGAGTGTGCGAAAATGAAGGCGTGTGGTTATGAATTACTGATGAAGGGAATTGTCCTCTTTGTGTTAGTCGTGCATCTATTAATTAGTGATTGATAATGCAGGCTTGATAGTGGAATTAATGTACCTCCGTGAGGACGATTTATGGAGATTATTGGGATTATAGGAGGGAGGGTAATTCGAACATTGTGTCTGATTCCATTTGCGAGATCTCTTCAATTGAACGAGGAAAAAAATTGTTGTGCGTGAGTCATGACGAAAATGAGCGCTGGCAAAAATCAGTTATTAGTTCAGTGAATGGGGGGCTAAAATAGAAACTTTTCCCAGCAAATCAGCATTATAATTCTTATTTATTTATATATATAAATGAAAATATATTTTTTCCACTAGTGTTATCGATGATCTTGGATATCTTTAATTCAGTAGCGAAGTGGTAAAACGGTTTAAGTCGACCTATCTCCCAGTTGAGTTTTTGATGAATATTTCTGAATCTAAGGGAGATACCGAAATTTTCATGATTACGTTTGTTGTAGCTCTCAATCGGCTCTACAAAAAAGGTTATTACAAAAATTTTGCTATCTCTCTTAGATCCCGAGATATTCATTGAAAACTGGTCAATAGTCAACTGGAAATTTCAACTTTTGTGCAACAAATCAGTTGCTCATATGTTCACATGGATGTTCATGAATGTTCGTATGTTCAAATTCGATTAGAATTATAAATTAAAGGTCTTTTTGACCCTCGGAATTCACCACTGGGACGTGGCTGGAGTTGAATGGCAAAAAAGATGACAAAAAAATAATAATTATGAAGAGCTATTCAATTTATTTATTGGCAACTGGTCTCTTCGTGAGAATAATTTATGGAGATCATTGGAACACTAGAAGTGAGGATAATTCTCAGATCATGTCTGATTCCACTTGCGAGATCACTCCAAGGCAACGAGGAAAGACGAAATAGTTGTATGTGAGTCACAACGAAAATGAGCGTTGGCGAAAATCCGTCATGATTTATCGTGCTTTATGAAGCTATTTGCGCACGTATTGCGTTAAGTTACACTAGTGGAGACGATTTATCAGCATCATAGAAGTCGAATGAAATTGTGTTTATGAAGAATAAACAAATTGGAGAATAGTTTTTCTACTCGATTTTTTAATAATTCATCTTGAATTGACATCATGGAGATTGAGGGGTTTTTTACCTGCAGTTGGATGTCAGCTATTTTGTTCCAGGAGAATTCGAATTCGTTGACAGGGACACGAGCTTGTTTGAGGTACCGTAGGAAGCCGAGTTCCTCGGGGCGGAGGATCAGGAGGGCATGTCCACTGCTTCCTTCACCACGAGCTGTTCTACCAACTCTGTGGATGTATTCCTAGAACAAAAATTGAGAATATCTAGTTTTTGGTGTTGGCGATCGGTTCTTGGAGATCTGAGGGGGATGAGGAAATTTTTACGAAGTATTTTTGTGGATGTATTTTTACTCTACAAAAAAAAATCTGAAGAAAATTATGCCATCACTCTTAAATCCAGAGATGCTTTCAATTTAGGGAGAATAAAATCATCAAATTTCAGATTTCACTGAAAATTCTATGGAATTCAAAACATTAATATTTAGTAACTTCAATAATAACCAAATATTCAAGTTTCATTCAGTGAATATACCTTAGGATCATCCGGAGGATCCAACTGGACAATCCAGTCAACATCGGGGATGTCAAGCCCCCTAGCAGCCACGTCAGTGCACAGTAAAATGCCAGACGTAGCATTACAAAATTGGAAGAAAGTGGTCGTGCGTTTCGTCTGCTTTTGCTTTCCCTGAAAAAAAATTGCAATTCCCCCAATTATTGGTCTCACTCCACCCAATAATCTAACAACTGATGGATTTCGAAGATCAACTCACATGAATGCTCATAACCGGCAGATCAATATAATTAAGCAGCTCGTGATGATATTTAACAGACATACAAGAGGAGAAGAACACCATGACTTTCTTGTTCCGATTCTTCTTGAGGAATGTGAACAGGAGAAGGAACCTCTTCTCACTTGGACAGACGACGTAGCCTTGCTCCAGTCCCTCCACCGTCGCCTTCTCCTTCTCGTCGTCGACCCCGACGTACACAGGTTCCTTTTTAACAGCCAGAGTGGTCAAAGCCTCAATCTTCTTCGTCTGTGTGGCACTGAACAGCATCGTCTGCCTTCTTTTAGGAAGAATATTGATGATCTGCTTCAGTTCCTCCTCGAACCCGACGTCCAGGATACGATCAGCCTCATCGATGATCAGGCAGTTGAGGTTTTTGAACAAAAAGTCCGGAGTATTCTGGAGATGATCGAGCAGTCTTCCAGGCGTTGCCACAACAATATTGACCCCTTTAGCCAGTTTCTGGGCCTCTGTCTGCCTGTTGGCACCTCCCATCAACAGCCCATACGTGTGATGATGATACTTCATCAATTCCTTGAGAACTCCAAAGGTCTGCATCGACAGCTCTCGAGTTGGAGAGATGATGATGCAGCCAGTGCCATTCCTTGGCATGAGTTTCAGTTTATTCACCAGTTCGATTGCTGGGATGAGGAAGGCTAGGGTCTTTCCAGAGCCAGTCTTGGCAGCTCCGACTAAATCACGTCCCTCGAGGAGAGGGGGAATTGCTCGGGCTTGGATCTCCGTCATGTTCGTGAAGCCCATGTCCTCGATTCCCTTCAACGTTTGCTCACAAACCTTGCCTTTGAGGGAGGAGAAGGCGGGGTTGTTGGACACATTGAGACCAACTGAAGAGCCTGGCACTTAATGTTAAAAATATAAGAATGTAAAAGAATTTTCTTTAATTTGTCATCTTGTGATGATGCAAAAAAAACTTTGGGGTTGACGCAAGTGGACTAGACGTGTTCTATGCCAAAAAATATGGGAAATGGCGTTTTCTCAGGGATATTTTTCACTATTTAAATATGAGATAGGTCTAATAGGATTGATTTATGCCCAGAGTTTTTTGTAGGAAATTTTCTAATCATGAGAATTGAGGAATTTACTTACGTGCCGATTCTCTCTCCTCTTTACTCTCTTGTGATTCTGATTCTGGTACATTGGAAACTTTATCCTCTTCTGGAGAATCCTCGGGGTCTTCTGGAGGATCCTCTGGGTCTTCTGGAGGATCCTCTGGGTTTTCAGGAGACTGCTCCACCTTTTTTCTCTTCTCTGCAGTGGGAAAATTGTGAGAAGCAATTAGTGAAACTGTTGCCTTTTTAATTAGCAATATCTCGAGATTAGGACAATGAAATTAAAAAAATTTTGTGCCATTCTCAAGTGCTTTTTCGTACTCTTGAATGGGGGAAATTTTGCTGGAATTGTTTCGTTTGTTCAGGAGATGTTGAATGGTTTCGTTCATTGAGGACATACTTTTCATTGGGGTGTCCTCAGCACACGGCCTCTTCTGATTAATTTTTTTCTTCTTGTTCACAGGTTTCTGGGGCTCTGCACTCGCCTCCACAACAGCATCTGCAGTCAGGGTGAGTGATGCATGGATTTTAGTCAATATTATAGGTTCAAAAGGCGTTCATAACCTGTTCAACAATACGTGATTAACATTGACTCACCGTTTTTCCGCTGGGCCTCGCGCTCCTGAATGATTTTCAACTTGTGCTCCTCTCTCTTCTTGATCTTCCGCATCAAAACTTTGTCTGGAAGTGACATTTTCGCGCAATTAATTGATCAAAAGGTGGCGGAATTCAAAAAATATCAGACGTCCATGTGGGGAACGCATGTGGCAAGAGGGGGGGCCGTTTGTACAAAATATCAAATGGACACATTCCGTTTTGGAACACGTCCTAGGGAAAATGGGGACAGTACATTCCAGATGGGCAGATTCTGGTGAGGTGGTTAAACAGGGCTCGGTATTGGAGATATCGTCAGAAATGTCTTACCAGTCGTATTTTCTAGTGCAGCGGCACGTTGAGAGATGGCGGGATTATTCTCGTTTCAAGGGAAATTGGAAACTGAATCGAACTGGAGCAATTGTTGTCAGCCGGAAACTATTATTTATAAACAGATGGCGATAGTCAAAAATTCGATTTTGGCGAATGTCTACACTTTCCTCCTGGAAAAATCCAAGATCTGACACTTTGGCCCCGGGTGAAAAAAATTTTTTTTCATTTTTAACTATTCCCGAAAACTTTTGGGAGATCTCGATAGCCCATCGCCTAAATAGTCGGAATCAACTTTTACTCGACAAAAAAATTCGATTTTGGCGAAAGTCGACTTTCCCCCTGGAAAAATCCAAGATCTGACACTTTGGCCCCGGGTGAAAAAAATTTTTTTTCATTTTTAACTATTCCCGAAAACTTTTGGGAGATCTCGATAGCCCATCGCCTAAATAGTCGGAATCAACTTTTACTCGACAAAAAAATTCGATTTTGGCGAAAGTCGACTTTCCCCCTGGAAAAATCCAAGATCTGACACTTTGGCCCCGGGTGAAAAAA